AAGTACAAGAGCAGGCTATAGAAGAAAGTGCTTCTCTTCGATAGTCAGAACTCGCTGAAAAGATGGGTTTTCTATCGGGGAAATGATCCAATGCAGGCCTAACTTCTCACTGCCGCCTTCATTAAAGGAGGATTTACGATAGAATGGAGGTCGAGGAAGAAGTAATTCACCTAGTTGAGTAACCCATGGACCTCCTGAGGGTGCGAACTGATGCGCAAATCGCATCGAAAAATTTGACCTCGGCGACCTATTACGCCTCAAAGTTGGCGGGTCTGGCGATCTCCGCCCACCGACCAGCTGATCACTCGCCGCAGATCTATACGTGGGATTGATTAGATAGCAGAGAGAGCGTGATGTTGAGGAGGGCACAGCGATAAGAGTCGCATCAATGCGCAAATCAGCGGGGAAGGAAGGGGTCCCATTTCTCGGGGTTCTGGGCCGTTTCTCATGGTTCTTCCTTCTTTCGTGTACCAATCACCATCCCTGAGTTAATTTGAAATGGGTTGCCTTCCCAGCGTGAATTCGTCCTTTAAGGCAATCACCAGATGCTGCATTCCTGCTACAGGAAATTTTACAGCAAGAGCGCTAAGAACTGCAAAAGACCATGTTTCCTTTTATCTAAGCAGCTTTGTCTATGCTCCCATCTGTACACCTTCTCTTACCTTCACAGCCCCGTCCCATGCACATTAGCAACAGTCCGTTTTGAAAAAGACGGCCAAATTCATGAAACGACATTTTTGAACATTTTCTTACATTACACGACCTATATCGCCTCAATCTTTCGTATTGTACTTTCTTACTTTACTGCCGACCTATATCGCATCAATACTTTCGTATTGTTGTGCAGCAACCACTCCTGCTAATCTAGGGATATACCTTCAATGTAGAAAAGCAGCATCAGAACCAAGAGATCGCGTTAATCTTGCGGAACTTTCTAGAGGAAGACGACATGACGAATTGAAATTGAAAGAAGCGAGCTTCTAGGCCTTTCATTGCAGATTCTGACGTTGTTGTAATTTTTACAAACTTATATTGCCTCTCACAAAGGTAGTGGTCACGATGACTGGATTGCCTTTTGATGAGTTGAATGAACGTCATAGGTGGGGAGCGTAAGAGGTAATTTCAGCCACATCTCCGGCGTGCTGAGAGTTTTGGTCCACCGACGTTCATTGATATCATCAAAACCGCTCCACCACCGGCCATCGGACCACTGCCTTGGAATGAAGTAAATTGTAAAGGGGTTCTCTTGCCACCTTGTTGCTCGAGTGTTCAACCTCGTTTGTCCCGAAAAAGTTTGGCCACACTAGCGTCAGTAAGTGCAAGATCCATTTAGTTTATGGCAAGTTTGGGAACATGAAACCTAGTGCCTGACCTATGGCTCCCATAAAGGCCAACTTAGGGAAGAAAGCAACGCGCCCTGTTTATTGAATGCTGTCGTTAAATGGAACAAATGTCTGCGTAGGAATGGTAGCAGTTCATTTTGAAATGGCCAATGTAAATCCCAGTGGGCTTCAAGAAGGCTCAAAAATCAAAAGGAATGAATACAAATGCGTGAACTTGCAGCACACAACACTATCGGCTCGAAGAAAGTTGTTAATGCCAAAAATAATTTCTGAATGAGTTCTACCATGCTTCGGGAACCCGGGTTTCTTTTCTGATCGTATGACAGCGGGGGAGGGGGGTGGGCAGGTTGCAAAAGTCGTTGTCTAGATCCTCCCTCAAGCGGTGGGGACGGTTTTCGGCAATTGAAAATTTGCCGTCCACAGGCCCTTTCGGACGGGGTCGAAACTTTAATAGTAATTTAGCGGAGGTAGGTTGCAAAGGATCAGCGGCGTGCTCGGCCTATACTGCCCTTTTGAGGAGCTTGATATACATGAGGATTTGTGAAGGGATCCCTTGCGCAAATTGTCTCGCGGCTCCTCTATCTACGCTCCATTTCTACCAGCTCGGGGTGACAGATGGACCATCCAGGTCGAAAATCCTAAAGCTTAGACTTCATAATTCTATGACATCCTTAGTAGCCTACTACTAGAGTGACTTCTGTAGGTTGAAACTTTAGAAGGGTAGCTTTTCAACTGTCTTTTGCCCTTCCAAGCTCCGAAGAATAGGACAACGCCGAAAATTCAGCTAATAAACTGTCATTAACAATCTCAGTTACGGGTTGAATCATTCTGATATCTAATCTAGAATTTATTAATTTCTGAGCAAAAGGAATGGCGAGCCCTTGAGCGAGGAGGATCCAGGGAGCACCCCTGGCACACTAGAGGGACAAATGTTACTGGTTCTCGTTTGAAGAACTTTGAAGAACTCGGTGAACAAAGGGACGGCAGGGTATGTACGGGGGGAGGGAAGGGGGTACAGTGATGGATGGGTGAAACTATTCTTCAGGTGAGTTGAGGTGAACCAACATTCATGGAAGTATTTAGATGTGACTTTCAGTGCAGGAGATGCATTTCATTTTTCCGGTGGAAGGGTTCATGGCGATAGAGCGAGAAGGTACCACGGTATCCTTAGGTTAGCATACTAGGGCTTCTTGCCAAAATCTTGCAAGCGGACACGCTGACAGCGCTGGTCATCGTGTCATGAATTCACGTCTGCTCCGTCCTTTTCATAGTTAGTCCGTGCCCAGGGCGCTGACGGCGTTGGGCAGTGACAAGCGGCTGCCGCTATGAATGTTCCTTCCCAAACCACAAAACATGTCATAGTGATGAGCGATCATGCAAAATAAGTAGTATATTTGTCACCGAACAAAACTGGCAATTCAAACGAGGGCGAAAAATGAAGATTCGGCGTGCATTTCGCTCATGCAGTGAGTTGTGCATGCGGTCCTTCTTCAGATTGTGCGCTAACATGTGAGTACGATTTGCATATCAAGATTTGAGAGGCGTTGATTGTAAGAGTCAGTATAATACATGCTTAAGACAATTCACAATTAAATAACTAGGGAGCGATGGAAGGATACGGTCAGTTGGTTGGGGTAGGATTCGAGTAAGGCTCTGCACCCCAACTGTTTCCTTCACGATTGAGTATGTGCTGCATCCTTCTAGAGCAGTTAGATGAAGGGCACTCAATTAGTCACTGCATTCGATTACAGAAATCTAAAGGTTCAGGGTTAGGCGCATTCTGGAAATCAGTTGAAAGCGCCTGACGTTTCACAATTCCCAGTACTTAGCACCATTTGAGGAATGAGAGATGTGTACTTAGCACGTTTTAACTTCGAAAATGCGAAGAGGGGTTCTGCTGCAAAACTTTGTTACTGAGAGAAGGTACTACATTATAACAATCCGGTTTGTCCAGACGCATTAGCGGAATGTGGTTTGGCGTTGAACTTGTGGTCTGTAGTTTAGAGTGGTAAACGAGCAACGACAAAAACAATCACTGATTTATCAATGGAAGAGGACTACTATTGCAGTCGAGTGAGGAGATTCTGATGACAAACCGGGCGCAATCCTGTGACGGTGATGGTGATGGTGATGTCGATTCGTTCATAATCCACGCATTCGATTTCTGAAACGGTCTGATTTTGAACTTTTAATTTTCTTTTGAATCGGGAAATAAGATTTTTCATCAGTGATTCATGATTATCATCAGTGATCCATGATCTGTGATGTTGTGAGGTGAAAGAGAAGGTTCTGAGTTGTTCCGTCGCCTTGGTCTGGGCCCCTTTCCCGATTTCCGTTAGGTATCGTAGAGGTTTTGTATGTGTACGGGGTTCACACAAAGCTTCTGCTTGGTTAGCCTATGTTCCGGTCAGCGTTTCACGGCCTACTTGCTTCATGAAACGTCTGGTGCCAAATTATCCGTCTGTTGGCGCGTTTGTTTCGTTCGTGTCTGGAATCGCGCCACAATTGCAAGCCTCTCGAATAGAATATTGCTAACAAAGACTGTATTTCGCAAAAGCCACGTAATATGATATGATTTACTGGAAGGCATTTTTTTTGATTGAAATACATTCTTTCAAGGTGATTGTGGAAAGGTTTGTGTTGAGCTTTGAAATACAAGGGCCAAGGACAATTTCAGGAGTAATCAGGTATGCTCGAAGTTTTGTACCTATATTTTTACGGTGAAACTCCAGTTCGGGGGGGGGGGGCCACTCCATTTTTTCTCCAATACTCAAGATAAGGATTAGAGGGCTCACGACACGTAATCGACTCATTTAAAGTAGACTTCTGATAAATATTGGTGTAATGGGTGAGAAACCCTGAAACGTTTTCACATTTCCGCCTGCCATGACCCAAGGGAACGGTCCTGGACCAGGAGAAAGGACACCTCCGCAAAGGGCTAAGGGTGCAGGAGCTCCAGGGTGGATCACCTGTGCAGAAAAGTGGATGGGATGTGGGCAGGTAGTGTGGAATGTAGGACATCCACCGGTCCTTATCAAAAGTACGCTCGAAATGAGTCGTTCACTTATTATCTTATCCGTAGTGTTCGATAGCCCAAAGAACTGCTCTCTAGTACTACGGATAAGATAGCAATGGAGTGGCCCCCCCGAACTGGAGTTTCACCTTTGGTATCATTTTAGCTTTTGAATATGGCTAAATTTTGTTCGATTGCTCTCTTTCTCAACGCATTTCACATACACATAAATTTGCTGTTGTGTTTTTTTCTTTAAAATGAGTACCGTGTCAGGGCTATGACATTGTTAAAGAGTGCCAATACCACCTGGCTTATCTACAGAAGGTGGTGCTTCGGAAGGAGGCGGGGAGGGGTGGGTATACACTGCTGCCCAGGCCTGCCGCCGCAGCCGCCCCGACCGCAGAAACCCCCGTCCCACCCACATTTTCAAAACAACCAGCCAACATTTTTGTTTTTTTTTCCCCCCCCCCCCCCCAAAAAAAAAAAAAAAACAAAACCCCCCCAATTTTTTTTTTCCTTTTTGGCCCCCCTGTTTTTTTTTTTTTTTTTTTTTTTTTTTTTTTTGTTGGGCGGCGGGGGCGGGACATATTTTATTTTTGGGGGCGCGGCGGGGCGGGGGGCGTAGAACCTTATTTCTATTAATAGATAAGAAACAATATGAGATTGTTTAGTTTAGAGGAATTCAGCAAATCTCGACAGCGGTCAAAACAATTTCGCGTTCTTTCAAAGTTCCTGCCGAAGCAAATCGCATAACCCTGGCTTTTAGGTCGTCCGATCAGCATCACCAGGCTCTTTGCGGATTTGTGCACCTGGCGCTAATTGGAGTGTGCCGAAAATCACTACGGTCGACTTACCTCTTACGGTTGGGGTGCGGTGGAGGGGATAAGGAGAGGACAAATCAAGGTCACAGCAAATCAGATTGTACCGTTAGCCGCTGAGCTTTATCGGTTCGGGGCCATTCAAAGGATACCATGGTTGCCTGAGAGTAGAAAAGCAACAATTTATACATCGGATGGCTCCTGTAACATTGTACGAGCCAAATCTCTCAGGAAAAGGCAGCTGCGATTTCGAATGGAAATAGGATGCGTGGCGAATCACAAAAAGGACTGATCAATGCCGAATGCTTTATCCTTTTCCTATACCACTGATGGATGTGGAGAGGTAGTGCTATGGCAGAAGGCATCATTCCCCTGCTAACGGTCTGAAGGTTGAATTCCTGCTCCTATTTCGACTAGGCCAAACAAACCATCCATGCCTCCCGGACAATGCATTGAGGTCAGACTCGAATGGGAGGGTAAAAACCGGCTGCACATTGGCTGCTTCCTAAAACTAGTCTATAGAACAAAAGGTGCTCAAGTATCACTACAATTCTAAATGGAACAAGAATCGTGACGGAGCCCAAAAATGAAATGCAGTTATTTCTGATAATTCTCAAAGCCCGCTGAGTACTTTTATGAATTGACTACCTAAAAAAGTCGACTTCTGTACCATAGAAACGAGAAAGCTATTCCAGAATTGAACTCTCGTTACCTTGAGGGAAAAATCTATTGCTCTCTTTGATACCTAGAAGTTTCAACGATCTCATGCATGGCTGAACGAGAACGTAAATTGGATTTTTTCCACCAATGTTATAGCTTATTGCCTGATTGTGAGCCCACTAGAGCTTTTCCCTCTCTAAAAGGTTTTCTCTTCATGTTCGCTTGGAGAGTAAAGGAGTGGCGGAGTCATATCCATCCCTCAGCTGGTAACCGATATTGTTTTATGGAATACTGCTATAATGAGCAAAAATTCGGGTCCAGATGAATTTTATGATAGTTTAGACCTTTTCGAATTTTCTTCTTTTAGAGTGCGGCACCGTACTGGCTAAGGGCGTTTATCAAATATTTATCACAGCACAATATTTGCATCGGAACCTCACAAAAATCACTTCTCTCTGAGTCGATTAGTACCTACTTCGCGTTTCTGGGTAGAAACCAAAAACTAACTTCATTATCCTCTGGATGTTTGAATGGATATATGTGTACCTTACCACTGGCTTCAGTATTCCTAATAAAAATCGTATGCATGGCGAATACCGAAGATGTTAGTTTCCACCCAGGGTTTTGTTTCTTGTAGCTCCAAAACGGCAAGATCGTCCGTAGTTCACCTCATGGTGCATATGTGCCATTGCATTAAATTTTATGGACTTCACCCAAGTCGAATCGTTGGTTACTTACTATGGAACGTGCGGAATGATGTAGAAAACATGGACGAAATTGGCGTTGGGTTATATATCTTGCAATTTGGTCCAAGTTGGGAGTAATTATCGCGAGCCTCGTCCTCAAAACAAAAAGATCACCCGGAACCTCATGGCTTTTTGATGGCTAGCACGGGCCAAGCGCGACAAAATGTGGGCGCATGCAAACTCCTTAATTCCCATTTTTCTCATTTAGGGATTGCAGCAGTACCATTGCCTGCGCTCAGGAGGGCTTATCGCCTTCTGTGAATCCCAGAAAAGTATTTGTAATTAATTATGAATCCCATAAAAATTTTACTTCTACAAATTTGGCACTTTATCGTTTAAAGATTAGCGGGTAAAAAAGAAGCACAGCTAGAAGCAAAATGAGGCAATTTTGGGGAGCCGCAGTACTTTCCGATGTTTCGCCTCCAGCTAATGACCATATT